TGAAAAGACGTTATCGGCTATCATACCCTAGGTGGTATGATAGCTGCATTAAAAAATCAGAAAAAATAAATGATAAAAAATATGGAAAAAATAACTGACACAAAAACACAATTCTTGGGAAAAAGCCGAAGCATAAAAAACCCAGATATATTTTCTTCGATACAAGATTTAAACGATTAACTGCGAATGACGTTATTCACACACACACACATGCATCCACACACCAATGTTTGTCTAGGAACGCATAGGCGAACTGTCGACTGAATATGTAGACACACACGCGCACTGATAAATAACGATAGGATAAATCCCACACTAAATGTTTAGGTGGAATAATTTATGATTGCGCAATTTGCTAATCACGACTTCGATATCGTGGCTTCGGTGCCACGTGTGACACGAAATCGTTGGATTTCGTGTCTTAGGTTAAGATTTTTGATTGATAATTTTTAGGTTTTTTCGTCACTACAGTTTGTGAACGAAAACGATTGATTGATCGATGGTTCCTTTCGGATGAATATTTTGTCAATTATGACAACGATAAAGTCAGGATGACTTGTCAAATGATTAATTTGCAGTTGCACACGAAACACACACTTGTGGCGTCGGTTAGACTCTGACATCATCAAGCGTCCCCGCATGCTCGTACCCGCCAGACTGGCGCATGGTGGCGCCGCCACCCATTGTCGCCAACATACCAAGCGCGGTTATATTAAAATAAATGTGTTACGATGGAACAGCATGGTCTGAAATGTAAAAATACGAACTTTTTGGTCTATGTGCGTATGCGCGCCTGTCCACCTGGTGGACAACTTAAAAAAAAATGGAGGAATCGAGGAAGGACTAAAATAATTTAAAAAATCTCAAGTTTTGTCAAATCATAGGTATCAATGAAGATTAACTGTGTTAAATTTCAGCTGGACCGATCCAGCCATTTTGGAGAAATTGCCATTTTTTGGGTTTTCGCTGAAAATCCTTGCTTGCACTCTAACTTTCGAAAAAATCGATCTATTAACTTGACAATCGACATGAAGTTTTCTTTTAGTACTGAAATGCTTCGTATTAAAGATGAGCTGAATCGGATGGTTAGTTTAGGAGATATTCAATTTTGTATCTGATCTATTTCCTTGTTCCTATACTTTTTTTTAGTTTTTATGAAAAATAAAATTAATTATATTTGAGTAATTAATCCTAATTCAAAATTCGATTGCAATGAAATCAAGGTACAGAAGAACTAAATATATTATTGATAATATTAATATTGTGGCGTCTTTATTCTTTTTCTCCCTATCTCTCAACCACCTTCATGTACAATCGTCTTCTTCTTTCTCATTATTCTTTGATCTTCGTTGTTAATCCACAGACGTGTCATTTCATTTGTATCTTTTTATCATTTATTTCGAACCATATTCTTTTAATAAAGTCATCTATTATTAAATGGCCCATATTTTAAAATATTGATTTCCTGACCTGACGGGAGAAAATTATAGTCATGACCCCGAAACCCAAATGTGAAAATTTCATAATTCCACATTCTTGAAGACCATGTCTGACATTTCGTGCGTTTCGCTGGGCTAACGCGCCAGCGCTCACGGCATTTCACCGAGAACCTTAGTCGCGCGGAGAGAGAATCTCTGGCGCATTGCGCATACACTAATTAGACAGATAAGCGGGGTCCGAGATATCCATGGGACTGGTTTAGTTGCCGAGTATCACCGAACGCTTCACGGAACCGCTGGATGCGAGCGAGCCACACGGTCGACTTTACTCGCGCCGCGAGAGAATCTCACACGGTCCTCGTCCGAGCTCGATATAGTATATTTCGTTACGAGTGCGGAAAAGAGTTTTTTTTCTCACCTTCGGCTCGTGCGATGAACCTCCCACGAGCCAAAAAACACTTCCCACGAATATCGAACGATATTTTTCATCACAATGTGTGGAAAAGGGACGTTTTAGGCACGTTTCGCGTGCCTAAAAGTTACTTTTTCGCGCAGCGTGATGAAAACATATTTCTATAATTTATTGAAACATACTAGACGGGTTTTATTGACCCCAGAGGAAAGGGAGATAATTGTTTGAAGTAATCAAAAACTTTCAATCCAAAATCTCAATTTTTTGACTGTTCCCTACACTCTGAACATTTTTGCAAAAGAAAGTCGTAGAGCACGAGTACTGACGGGTTAACTCTGATTACAATTTTCTAATACATTGGCAGAAATGACTGTTCGGAATAATTTCTTCATAATTTTAATTTACTTTCTGTTGTATTTCTTCTGTGATGACTCTCAACGTTGATTTTCTCAATGTTATTAACCGTCTGTTGGTTTGAATTGCAAAAGAATCAGCAGGTATGTTACAATCATTCCAAAAATCTGAAACGGAAAACGTATTATTCAATTGTAATAGTTGACTAATACATCACCCGAGAATGAAGCTCTCAATTTCTTACCGAATGCAGTAATGAACAATCTAATGAAAAAACTCCACATGCAGTGAATTGCACTCTCGTGTGCAATAATTCAATAGCAAAATTATTCAACTCGGACTGGATATTTTTATTGCACGCGTAAATCTCCATAATTCCATAAATGATGTCTGCAGTTCGATCCGTCTGAAAAGGGAATTTGGCTGATAAATCATAAGTGTCTTTTTGTGCACTTTCCCTTGAAGTTACACATACCTCGGCATGAAATGTATTAACACTAGCACTCAATACTGTGATAGGATATGCACACATTAATATCCAGAAAACCGAATTAACCGATATCATACTGAATCCATTAAATTTGAAAGGTACTAAAGTCATGATGAGAAAGTAAATACTATCGACACAACTGCAACAGCAATGGGAAACCACAACCAAAACCGGAAAGGAAAAGAATTTCGAAACTTGACGTGAAATTTCATATAGCATATTCCTCGCTCTTCTAATCATGATGAAATTTTCAATAGTCAAACGAACATTCATAGTATACCCAGAAAAGATTGAATTTTCTTCAAATGCAATTGGACATTTGGATATGGCGAGGAAAGCATTATTGAGTCCTTCGAATCGATCCCTCAGAATATTAATGATCAAACTATATTGTATTAAGATCCAACTCAGAAATGCTGTACACAAAGCCGAAGTAATGAGAAATAGTTGTGGTGGTACTACGAGAGACGTCGTCAGAAGTCCAATCCAAACGAGAATCATGAGGATAATTGTTATGAATTTCTGCAAGTCTCCGATTCCACTGCTCCTCATTCCAAACAATTTGTGCCCATATTTTCTATCGAATTCACTCAATCGATTTCCGATATTTATGATATGTCTTTGGAAGATTGAGTAGAAGATAATTATCATGATGGCGAATAAATTTCCGGATATTGCAAGTGCTATCACAATCACCATCACAGTCTTCGAGTTGTTGGGATACGATACTTCAGTCATGTGCGGTACAGCTAAAATAATTATTGTGGAGAAGAAGATGGTTAACAAGATATTGTATGCACATCTCAGTTGGGAAAATGACAGTGTGAAGGAATAGTCTATTTTCTTGGCTGATTGAGGTGTTATATTTATCCTGCACGGTGCTAAACCCAGGATGCAGGAGATTGCTTCGACGATATGAAACATGATGAAACGCATTTTTGAGTAAATTCCCATACTGTACATTTTAATGGATATGATACTTCCGGGGAGACTAATCATACTGTTTCGAATTACTTCGAATGGACGTGGCAATCATCGTGACAAGAGAATGTAATTTCATAATGCATGTGGGGAAATGGATTTTCATTCAGGAGAGTTTATCTCACATGAGGCATCTAATAGTTTTGCATATTACTGTTGAAAAGGCGGGAGTAATTCGATCGGAAAAGACCATCATTTACTAAATATAATGCGCAACAATTAAATATTTATATTTTAGAAATTTGGAAAATGAAATATTGTAAAATATTGATATATTCTATTGAAAAAAAAACGATTTGTTAATCCTTAAGTGGTCGCAGCTTTCCACCGGACGTAGTTGGTCGCACGGTACAAGAATACCCGCCCCGTGTGTATTTTACGATTTCGAAAGAAGAAAAAGTTGAACAAAAAAAAAATTATTCCACGTTCAGAGGTAATTATGAACTTTCAATGAATAGGAAATGAGGCTATGGAAGCGAAATAGTTGTCAGATAATCCAAGAATTCGATTTGAAAAAGTGCAAAATTACGAAATTTTGAGGGTAAACATGGGTATTTTCAGCGAGTCGAGTAACATTATTGCAACCCTACCGAATTTTGCTTGACTGCAGCTACGGTAGTTGATTCCGAAACGCACTCTTAAGGGTTAATGGGAGACCGGGGTAAAATTTGAGGGCCGGTTTGTTCATGTACCTTTTGCTCTAAAGGCCAGTTTAACTTTAAAAAACGGTCCGTTTGCCCAATCATTCGTTTCCCCAGAGAGCTCCATGTGTTATTTCAATGGACCATTAGATAAAGCTCCGTTTGCAAAAGGGACCTTTAGAGGAAATAGTACGTTCCGACATTAGGCCGTGAGGAACTTTTCTGGCGAATATGAGGTCACAGAACGAGCCGAAGGCGACTTCTGTAATTTTCCCAGGGCCCGCGGCCCACGCCACGGCCCACGGCCGTGTGTCGAACAATATTTTTTGTCATTAGGCCCAAAAAGGAACATGAACAAACCGGCCCTGAAAGTTATAGGCGATTGTTCCCATTGACGTATTATTCGCGATCGCAACATAGATGTGGGAGCCATTAAGTGGTCTCTAAATTAACTACTAGATATCGCGTGAATCGATTCTCTAAATTTTTAGAATAATATTCATTAATCAAATTCATCAAATAAACCAGATATGTTACAGATAGTTTTGTCGAGTTCAGTTTTGTTGAGTTAGAGTTTAGTATTTGTGAGATTTTTCTACGTCAATTCGGTTAAGGAGCAGGATATCACCGTGGAATATTTGGCCAAGATAAGGTGCTACCCAGTGTTTCCTGCAGCCTTTTTGGTTTGTTGATAGATTGTGTACCTAGGTCGAGTTAAAATGCTTGCCCTCCTTTGAGCGAAAGGATTAGGGCTTTCAGTTGGAAGGCCGTGGAGACGATCACCTAGTCGTCGAAACGTACCGCCATTGGGTTTTTTAGTTTAGTTAAGTTGCGGTTGCGTTTGAGTTTCGTTAGTAAAGTCCTAATTCCTCTCCGGAGAGTGCCCTCTGTAGATAAGCTACCTTATTCTGGTGGTAGATGGAACGAAGACCCGCTCAGCCATCTCAGTTCAGTTTTGAGTTTGAGTAATTACGATGTAGTTCAGTTAAAATAATTAAAATCAATACGATAGGAAAATTCAAATTTAAATATTTAATTATTACGCGCACAATTACCCCAGCAGTCGATTGTTCGCATCTCCGAAATTCGANGGTAGATGGAACGAAGACCCGCTCAGCCATCTCAGTTCAGTTTTGAGTTTGAGTAATTACGATGTAGTTCAGTTAAAATAATTAAAATCAATACGATAGGAAAATTCAAATTTAAATATTTAATTATTACGCGCACAATTACCCCAGCAGTCGATTGTTCGCATCTCCGAAATTCGAGTCAGCACCGTACGGGGCTAGTCTCCACCAGACTCCCCAGCACTACGCAACAGGCCCGAGCGGATACACGCGATAGTCGCCATTACAGTATCAACCCGGACGACCAAGAGTGAGGTACGAGTCGATATAGCTCCCTGAAGGAGTGTTCTTTCAAATTAATTATCGAGGGCCCGTGACCAAAATTCCGTCGACTTTAACATTCCAGAGTATGGTAAGTAGCCGTGTACTTATTTAGAGGTGATTGTAAGTGAATTTGTACGGTTTTACGAAAAATAATTTGGACCACGTGGAATGGCGTCGCTACATTTCGACATGAGGACAACACTGATACTTATAGTTTGAAGGGCAGAAAACCCTTTAAACGAAAGCTACCTGAAATTATCTAGGTGATAATTATGCTACCTGAATAAATCAAAATAGTAATAATGCTACCTGCAATAACTTTTGTGCAAAAATTCATCCTTTATGCGTCTCGCTACGGCGATTGATGCCACTCACTACCTGTTTCATTACTACCTCTTTGCTTGCTATCTTTTCTTGCTCTCTTTACGTAATTATCGTATGCTGACTATTATTTATATTTTCCCCAACTTACATGAGTTTTGCAGGAAAAATTATGCTACCTGAGATGTCGTGACGCTACCTTTCACGCGTTTTGATGTTCTCTAGCGTTCGTTGAGTTTTGGATTTCGGTTGGGCATGGGGACGCTATCTTTTTAGTTCTCTTTATTTTGATGGTTGAAATCCAGAACAATAAAATTATTTCAGCCTTCTTGCATTAATGAATAAGCTACCCATTATTTTAGAAATCGTTTGAGACCATAAACTACCAATTTTCATGGAGAAAACCTCCATTTCCGGGTTAGGAATGCTCCCTTCTGGTAATTCAGCCACGTGGTTGATTCAAGCTCCGTAGCTCATTTTGTTACCTTTTCAGTGGACAAGATCCCCGATTTTAATACGTTACAACTGGCGTAAGAATTGAGAAAACCATTACAAAGGCGTTCCAGAATTCGAAATTCGAATAATTACAGTCGAAAATAGAAAAAATTAATACATTCTCGTGAGCTCTCTCTTTATTTCGCGTAGCTACCTCATCCATTCTCTCTCTCTGTCTCTCCCCCTCTCCCCCTCTCCCCCTCTCGCCATCTCTCTCTCTCTCTCTCTCT